CCCCCCCCACACTATTCAACCCAATGTAGAAGGAAGGTGACAAGATGAGTTCAACTCCTTGCAGCTCTGATTTTCCATGTTTCCAAGATGCTCCTATAAATAGAAAGGTACAGCACCAGTGATTTACCTGCACATAACCTAGTCTTTTGAGCCATCGCAGTTTGATGTTTGCTCACTGTGCTTTGCTTTCGTGTGTTTGGTGTCTCTGCCTCTGTCTCTGCCTCTGTCTCTGCATCACTGTGCTTCTGTCTCTAACCTTCTTCATGTCCTTGCTCTCATCTCCCATCCTTTTTCTGCTTCTTCTTTTCCTTTTCCCCCTCCATTTCATCTTTTTCCTGTCTCCCTCATCCACAATTACCTGACCATAATACAGAATTGAAGTTTATATACTTCTTTTTTTCTCTTTCTTATTCCTTTATTTCACTGTGAAAGTTTTCCTTAAAAAAAAAAAACTGAAGTATAGTTGACACAGTATTACATTAGTTTCAACAATTCTGTATATTATGTTGTATTCAGCACAAGGGTAGCTACCATCTGTCACCATGCAACGCTATTACAATACCATTGACTATATTCCCCCTGCTGTACCTTTCATCCCTGTGACTTATTCATTCCATGATTGGAAGTCTGTATCTCCCACTCCCCTTCACCCATTTTGCCTAGCTCTCCCTCCTTCTGGAAACCATCAGTTTGTTCTCTGTAGTTATGGGTCTTTCTGCTTTGTTCTGTTTTTTGGATTCCACATATAAATGAAACTGTGTGGTATTTGTTGTTGTCTGACTTATTTCACTTAGCATAATACCCCCTAGGTCCAGCTATGTCGTCACAAATGGCAAGATGCCATTTTTTATGGCTGAGTAATATTTCACTGTATATACTCACCACATCTTCTTTATCTATCCACCTATTGATGGACACTGGACTGCTTCCATATCTTGGCTATTGTAAATAATGCTGCAATGAACATAGCAGGACATATATCTTTTCAATTAGTGTTTTTGTTTTCTTTGGGTAAATAGCCAGTAGTTGAATTTCCATTTTTAACTTTTTATATATTTCTCATTCTCATTTATTTTGAGAACCAATGCATGGAATATTTTCCATTTTGCTCTCTTTTCAGGAAAAAAAATGCCTCCAAAAACCTGCAAAGTTGTTTTTCGTTTCTGTCTATATTTGACCATTGGTGGATTATTTTTCCAAGCGTTTATTAGATTTATTAGGAAAAAGTCCCCAGTTGCTGCCTTACTTCCTCCCGATCCTGGGATGTGCTAGTTTTCCTGGAACCTCTTGGCACAGGAGGGTCTGGTTTAGTGCCAGAAACTATTCCATTAGTTTCTGGTACAACTAACACTCTCCTTCTCAGGGCTT